GGGGGGGGGGGGGGGGGGGGGGGGGGGGGGGGGGGGGGGGGCCTGGACTTCTCAGGCTGGGAATGGGGTGCACGGAGCAGGGACGGAGCAGGGACCCTTCTCTCTGGGACCTCACGGGCCATCCTTAGCTCAGAAAGCTGAGCCACTCCTGGCCCTACGAGTGGGGGGCTTATACTCCCTGTCCCCTGGATCACACCCCCTCACACACAACTTCCCCGTGTGTGCTCCCAGCAACCAAGAGAATCTGTTTTTAAAAGATTTGGGGGAGGGGGGTGAACATACAAACAAGAGCAGAATGGATACTTTCTCAGAATGGGAATGGCTCTTTGTAACCCCATCCCCAGGGTAACCAGAGTCCTGACCTCTAACACCCTTGACGAGTCAGCCTTGGTCTGGGCTTGCAGACCCACGGAAGCTTCCTCATCCCCTCCTTCAGACCCCGTCTCTCCCTCGGCGTCTTTGGGAGAGGCACCCGGGGAAGTGGGACTGCTAGTCTGTACTGCTGCTAGAACTCCACCTGGGCTCCACCGGGCTCCAGCCCCCCGCCCTGTGCACCTCTCTGACCCTGAGGCACCTCAACTGGTAGGAGCAGCATCACCTTCCCTCCCGGGACTTGTGACACTTAAGGGAGACACAGAAAGGACAAGCGTTTGGCTCCCTCGCTGGCAAAGAGCAGGTGCTCAATTGTCATAAGTGTCCGTATCAGTGAGGGTTCTCCAGACAAACAGAATCCATAGGGTGTGTGTGTATATACACACACACGTACATATGTACACGCATACAAAAATATACAGCTGTGTATATATGCAGTATGTATACAGACATATACACATATAGTATATACAATACACACATACATATATACACACATATAAAATGCATAGTTTGTATATATACAGTATGTATACACACATATACGCATAATACATACAATACACACATACATATACACTATACATACACACATATAATAAAATGCATGGTTTGTATATATACAGCACGTACACATACATATAACATATACGATATACACACCTAGGTACATATATATATACATACATACAAAGATATATTAGGTGTGTATATGTACAGTATACATACATACACATATACTATACATACACATATAATATATGCAATACATGCACACACATACATATAGACACACATATACACCTACATATAAAAGCATATAGCATAAAAATATATGTGCTGTATATACAAATACACAGTATATATACATACATATATCATATATAATATATACACATACATATATACAATGTATATACACACATACACACCTATACGTAAATGTGCGCATGTATATACACATATAAATACATACGCAAGTGTGTATATATACAGTATATACATATATACATATAATGCCTATACAACATATACACATACAGGTATACAACATATATACACACCTATACACTGTATACATACATACATACAGTGTACATATACTGTATATATACACACCCATATATAAATATATGGGTGTGTATATATACAGCATGTTCACATGTATAATACATATACTATATATATACACATACATACATATATACAATATATACACACAAATATATAGGTTTCTATGTATACTATATATAGTACTTACACATATACTACATACGCACGCACATATAAACATATGTGTATATACATATAAACGTGTATGTACATACCTTATATTCAATATATATGCATGCGTACACACATATATATAATATGTGTACACACATATACAAATTAATAGGCTTGTATATATTCAGTATTTTTACATATATAGTTTTGTTTTAAGGAGTTGACTCATGTGACCGTGAGGCAGGCAAGTCAGGGCAGGACTCTGGGCTGGAGACACAGGGAAGAGCTGATGTCTGAAGGCCATTGGAGGAACAGTTCCCTCTTTCTACGGAACCTCATTTTTCTCTCGTCCTTCAACTGATTGACGAGGCCCACCCACGCCGTGGCACTGACAATCTCCTTTACGCAAAGTGGACCGATTTCAGTGTTAATCTCATCTGAAAAATACCTTCCTGACCATATCTGGGATGTTTGTGGTCGCCGGGGCCCCGCGCAGCGCGCACATGAAATTAACCATCCCCGTAGCGTTGATGACACTTTACTATCTCCCCCGAACATTGTCACTACTATTCCAATTAAAATGGGAGCGCCAAGAGGGCAGGGCATTTCCTTTTTTGGCCAGTACTGAGCGTCCAGGGTCTGGTGCCTAGCATAGGCTAAATACACGGCATTCTTGGGAACAGAAGCAGGGATTCCGGCTGTCACATTTAATGAGGAATTATAGTCATTAATGACGAGGGGGGGGGGGTGTCACGGTACGCCAAGAGGGGGACTCGAACCCGCCACCGCAGGCCCCGAGGGGTCTCCCCGGGTCCCCACGTCGGGCCAGTGGGGGAGGCCGGGGGCAGCCGAGGACGTGCGTGCGTGCGTTCGTGCGTGCGTGAGAGCGGGCGAGCCCACGGGGCGGGGCTGAGGGGGGGCGCGCGCGGAGCGGCGGGCGGGGCAGCGGGAGCGCGCCGCCTCTTCGCGCCGGGCCCCCCCGCGCGCGCGCCGCGAGTGGTTCAGCCCGGCCCCCGGCTCATTGTGCTCGCCTCACGCCGGCCCAAGATGGCGGCGGCGCTGGAGGCTCCGGGCCTGTGACCACAAAGAGGGAGCCGGGGGCCGGACGGGAGCGCGGCGGCGGCGGCTGAGGCCCAGGCCAGGCCCCCTCCCCTCAGCCTCCCGCCCGCCCGCCCGCCCTCCTCCGCCCGCCCGCCTGCCTGCCCCGCCCCCGCCGGCGGCGCCCCGCCCCTCCCCCAACCGCCCGACTAGCATGGTGCGGCGGCCGCGCGCGCAGACATGGGGGAGAAGCTGGAGCTGAGGCTCAAGTCGCCCGTGGGGGCTGAGCCCGCCGTCTACCCGTGGCCGCTGCCGGTCTACGTGAGTGCCGCCCGTCCCCTCCTCCCGGACCCCCGCCCCTCTTCCCCCACGGCGCGCGCTGGGCCCACCGAGAAACGGAGCGACTCGAGTCCCGAGACCCTCTTTGGACCCTCCTTCCCGCCCCGCCGTGGTTCTCCGCGGCCGTTTCCAGCCTCCGCGCGCAGGGTGGGCAGAGGGGAGCCGGGGCCGGCCGGGGGCGCAGACTCGGCCGCGGGGAGCCCGCGCTTCCGAGGGGCGCCCGAGCCGGGCTGCCGTTGGCTCTGCCGGGCTGGGGTCCCCGGTACCCCCGGGCCTGGACTGCCGGCGGGCTTGCCTGTCCGTACTTTATGATCTGACATGTAGGGTTTCTTCTTGCTGGTAGTTAATTCTTGGCGCTGTCAACGTGCTTAGCTTTTTTATTTTTGAGGACACCCTTTTCTCCCTCTTTCCAGTTTTTTGTGTTTTTGTTTTGTTTTAGTTAGGCATTTTGTCCCTCTGATCTTGAGTGGCAGGACTGGCTGGACCTTTGGAAAGGAGGCATTCTGTTCCCAGATCTTGAGTGGGTGGGCTGGCAGGACCCTTGGAACGGAGGCGTTCTGTGCCCTGATCATGAGTGGGTGGGCTGGCAGGACCCTTGGAGAGGAGGCGTTCTGTTACCTAATTTGAGTGGGAGGGCTGGCAGGACCCTTGGAGAGGAGACGTTCTGTTCCCTAATTTGAGTGGGTGGGCTGGCCGGACCCTTGGAGAGGAGGCATTCTGTCCCCTGATTTTGAGTGGCCTTTGGAAAATGACAGGGCAAACGGAAATTTACACAGGCGTCCCGGTGATTCCAGAAATGTAGGGTGCCCAGCCGGGTGGGCGCCCGGCCTCTCGTCCCCTGTGGCGGCGTGGTGCGCGTGTTCGTGTCCCAGGGTCCACGCTTGGGCCCTGCAGCCCGCCTTTGGGAGGGAAAGCGCAGCGGGCGCCGTGGGCCGGCGCCTTTGGGGAGCTCTTTCGCGCGCTCGACTTGCGGGGAACCGGCCTCCAGGGACCCGGCGGGGAAGCCCGCGCGCCCCGCCCCTCGCGCGGGCTCCGTGTGTGTCAGTTTGTGGAAACTGTGTCGCGGCCGGGGGCGGGGTCGGGACGCTGGGACCGCCCGGGAGCCGATGTTGGCTCCGGGCCGCGGTTCTCCCCGGTTCTCCGAGGTCCGAGGGTTTCCAGCCCGCCACTGCGCACCGGCGCTTTCTATTTTTGCTCTTCCTGCGCCCGGAGGCGCGGTTGAGCCCGGGCTCTGGCTTTTCCGGTTGGGTAGCTCCGGGTGGCCCGGTGGGCGGCCTGAGCAGTGGGCAGGGCGGGGAGACATCCCAGGGCACGGAAACTTAAAGTGGGGAGAACCTTCAGAACTCCAGCTGATCCACTTGCCTCACCTCCCCCGCCCCTCTTACTGCACTTGTCATGTACCGGTTGGCTGGCCGGCGCATTTTTCAAAATGTAATAATTCGTTTATCCTTAGTAGCCGTGAAGCATAGTTCACTTGTAGTGCACAGTTCTAGGAGTTTTGACAGATGATCGCCGTCAGGCGGCAGAGCAATCCCGTCATCCCATTTGCTGCCCTTTGGCGCCAGCGTGCCTCTAGCCTCTTGGCCACTAATCTCCTCTCTGTCCCTAAGGTTTTGGCTTTTCCAGAAAGTCAGATAAATGGAACAACAGTATGTAGCTTTTTGATTCTGGCTGCTTTGGCTCAGCAAAACCTATCAGAGATTCATCCCTTTTTTTTTTTAAATATTTATTTATTTAGTTATTTACTTGGCTGTGGTGGGTCTTAGTTGTGGCACATGGGGTCTTCATTGCCGCGTGCAGGATCTTTTAGTTGCGGCATGCGGGATCTAGTTCCCTGAGCAGGGATGGACCCCAGGCCCCCTGCATTGGGAGCGCGGAGTCTTAGCCACTGGACCACCAGGGAAGTCCGTCATCCCTGTTGTTGCGGGTATGAGAAGTCACCCCTTTTTCTTCCTGTGTTGTATTCCATGTTCCGTTTGTCCATTTGCCTGCAGGTGGCAGGACTTGTGGGATGTTTCCAGTTTTGAGGGGATCAGGAATAAAGCTGCTGTAAACATCCCAGGGCAGGTTTCCATGTGAACTTGGGTTTTTACGTCACTTGAGAAAATACTCAGGAGTGGGACTGGGGACTGTGCTAAGTGTATGTTTAACAACCCTTTTGCATCTTAGAAATTGGTATTTTTGAGTATTGGAAGAATTTAGAAATCCACTGTGACCCAGCACCCAGGCACTTGAAACAAAGATGAAAGTTCATCTGGAGATGGTCACGTTGTCCCCGTCTCTGTCTTTTATTCGAGGCAGAGCAAGGCCACAGATTTGTAACCCTTGTAAGAAAGGTCTCATGTGTCCAGGCCCTGGCAGGACCTGGCTTTCTAGTGGTGGGCGGTTCTGAAGTGGAGAGCGTCTTTCCCTTGCTGGCCGGACCTCGCTTGGCAGGGTGTGGGGTGTGCTGCCTGCCTGGCTGGGCGCTCCTCCTGCTGGTCAGCAGCCGTTCCTGGTGTGTCTGTCCCACTACCAAGCAAGCAGTCAGGGGCCCTAGTGAAGTGCTCAGCGAGCCGCAGCCTTCCTAAAGCTTTGCGGGTAAAGTCTGCTACCCTCCCATTTCCCCGCTGAGGAATTTTGCTTTCTCATGGGAAGTGAGGGGGCGGTACTTTATAAGAGTTCGTATTTTGTGATGACTCGATGCTGAATACATTAAGAAAATGGGCTCCTTCTAGAAGCTTAACTTTTCAGAAGGTCAGATTACTCATGTGACCGCACGTTTGAAATGACTGAGCTTGTTTGTTCATTGATTCATTCATTCTGCAAGCACCTCCTGGATATTTACACTCAGTGTTCCAGGGGGCGCGGAGGACAGTAGACAGTATTCTTATTCTCAAGAAACTTATGAACGAAGGACGGTAGGTGATCTATAAACACAGAAGGTCACCTGAGGTGTAGTGCCCTGTATATGGGACCAGCTGAGGTCCCAGAGGGTGGGGCTGCCAGGTTTGCCCTGGGGGAGGTGTGGGTGGCTTCTCTGAGGAGGGGGCACCCGCAGGAGGAAGTGCAAACAGCCACAGCCATCTGCACGCGGAAGTGTCCAGCCTCCAAAATGGGCTTTTGCGCAATTGACAAATGGGAGGGCGGGGTGCAGGGGGTGCAGGGCGAGTTTTGTTCCTTCTGTGACTGAGAGTTCCCAGATATCCACTTGTAGCTCACGGCAGCATTTCTAAAGCAGCATGGCCCTTCTTTTGGTGGGAAAACCGGGTCTCAGCTCAGGAGGGAGCAGGTGGTATCTTCGGCTGCCTGATGGCTGGGCAGGAGCCTGCGAGGGTGTGCAGTGGTCCTTCCCCTCCGTGACTCACTGAGGCTGTGGGCGTGGAGCGGCCCCAGCGTGACTGTACCCGCCTGCTTCTGGCTTCCTCCTCCGAGCCCACAAGTCTCTGATGAATGCCCGCTGAGCAGTCATGCCCTTCACTCAACTGTGAGTAGTAGCTGAAGTGGGTGGCCGAGTGAGCCATCCCTCCCTGTGACTCAGAAGATATTTTCTGATCTGACCTCTGCTGGTATGAGTCCTGCCTGATCTGAGCTCAGGTGGAAGGCAGGTTAACCCTTTAACGACTTTCTGTGAGTGAAGTAGCCTCTTTAAAGAGGAAGGGATCACCGGAAAAGCCTGATATTCCATACGTACGTGGCTGTTAGCTTTTGTACTTTTGTACCTTAACGTCCAAATGCCGCCTGTGTACTCTGTTCCTGGTGGGAGGAGCCAGAGGTGGCCGGCCCTTTGGATATTCACTAGGCAGGAGGTGGTGGGAACTGCAGGGGACCTGCCCCCAGTCTACCTCTAGGAACTGCATCCTTTTTTCCTTAATTAAACTTTTTATTTTGAGATTATTGTAGATTCTTGCACAGCCATCAGAAATAAGACGGAGACATCCCACGCTCTCTTTACTCAGTTTCTCCTGATGGTGGCATCTTACAAAGCTACGCACCGATGTAATGATTTTGTTGGCATTGGTACAATCAAGATACAGAGTGTTTGGTGTCCCTTTTGAATTCGGTGACCTGTAGGGTGCGACTGGCTGTGTCTGCGCGTCCCTGGGTCCCGGCCCGACGCTCATCTCCCAGGAAACCCCTCTCCTGCCTCTTTCTTTCTCCCGTGTCCTCCTCTCGTGGTCCTGGCGCTCTGCCCCAGTGCGTGCGCCTTCTCTCCCTGGCTGTGGGATGACAGTCCTGTTTCCTTCCTCCCACTCAGGGCGCTGCCTGGAGGCCTCTTTGGCATCTTCTCTGTCCCTTCAAGCTGTCCCTGCCGTTCCCACCAGCCGGGTCTCCTGCCGCACCCATGGCGTTGAGCGGTCCCAAGGGTGTTCACAGAGGACGTGCCGGGTGTCTGTCTGCCGTGCTCCACAGCTCACACGTGGCTCTGTAGTGCCTCCCTCACCGCCTGCCTTTGTCGTTCCTTCCCAGACTCTCCCCACCCATGGGCGCTGTCGCGGTGCCTGGCCCGGGGCTCTGTTCCTTGGCGCCCCTGTGTCGGACCGGGCCCTCTTCCTGTCCAGGGCGCCTGGCAGGGCTGCCGAGTCACAGGTTCCCGTGAGCTGCAGTTGGGAGGTCGGAGGCTGTGTGCTTCACTTAGTATTGACCTTGGATGACGATGTCTCCTCATCTCTGAGGGGCTTCCGTTTAAATCCCCTCAGTCATGTGGTGCGCGGCCAATGCCCGGAAAGCACGTTAGACTCACACCAGGTGCACGGGCAGCCGGTGTGTGAGAGAGGTTACCTCTGAGAATGCTTCTCCCTTAAAAACCTGATGTGTCTTTTCCCGGGTGGGGAAGGGGTTTTGCAGGCTGTGTGCTGGGGGCCGGGGGACCGCCACGGGGTGGTGCCCACAGGGATGGCGGGAGTTGTGAGGCTCGGGGTGGGGAGGTCTCGGGAAGGATTTGCACGTCGCATGGTGGTGGTGGCTCACATTTCCCCTGGTCTGCAGGTGGCTCCCTGGCA